GAGACTCACCCTGTACACGTGATGTTTAATAAATCGACATTCACGAACGCGTACTTTACAATTAAACGCTTCGTCGCTAGTTACGAAAACATTTTCCTACAGCCGCGGCCGATACCTTCCCTTTAAAGCAAGCAGCTGAACCCCGTTTAATCACAGATCGCCCTGATTTGCGTTTAACACCGTCTATTTGTCATAGAGGCAAGCAGCCGTGATTTCGTAACGAGCCGATCACGCTGGACCACGCCGATTTCACGCGCCACTGCCAAAGTAAATTCCCCGAGTCCAATATTTCCGTTTCGTTTCGTTTCGTTTCGTTCCCTTTTCGTATCATTTAGTGAGGAATGTCCACGACGGTACTCGCGATACCTTTCCTTTACGAGCTTCGATAGCTTCGATACGAGCGTGGAAATATGGTGGAAAAAATTGTTCTCCTTCCAAGATAGATATAGCTTACAAATTCGGGAAAACTGATCGAAAAAATTTCAAACAAGGAAACAGATCGCGAGTGTCAGCGTTAGCCGATTCGCGTGACTCTGTGCAAATTTCCTCCTCCTTGGGAAGGAGAAAATGTAAACGAAGATGGTTTATCACCATCAAGTGTATCACAAGCAGATATCAAAGAACGATAGTTGCTCAGCTGATGGTTGATCGTAACGAGCCTCTTTTCCTCTCGAAAAGCACGCCAGCGATGCCATTTTCAGGTGTTTCTCGATGTTTTCGAAAGAACGAAATCATCATTAATCGTTGATTAACTCGTCAGAATGCAGACATTCTCATTGAGAATTATCGTCACGGTCCGCGTTACAATTCAAGTGGCAACCTTAATCGTTACTTACGCCGAAATCCAACTTACAATCATCCTGAGATTCCCGAATTAAATTAAAAAACCTGGTAACGAGGCAAACTTCGTTGTCCTGCGATGTTTTATTTACGCTGTCGAGTCCAAATGAAATTTAAACACACCCATCTTGATCGTGCAACACCTCGTCTCTGGGGAGAACCACACGAGAAATGCTGCAAGTATTTCTCCACGTATAGCGAAAGTTAACGTCAAAACGAAATTACAACTCCGTGGAAATGAACCCGGGTGAAAAAAAAAGTGCAAAATTAAATAAAACAACGTTGAATGCATTCACGTTTAACAATTTTGACGCGTGTCCCAGCGACAATTATTTTTCGAATTTCTGCGTTGAAACGCAGTTAATATGGTAACGGCACACAGAGCAAAGAGATTCGCCACGCAATAAAATAAACGCTGGTGATCGAATTTCTGGTTGAAAATACTTGTCTATTTCGTTATAACGATGTAATTACGGTGAATCACATTTATACGAAGTGCGAGCACCCGCGGAATTTTCAAATTAGCCTACCCTTTACCAGCGTAATCCTATTATCGAGCAACTACACTTCGCATACTACTCGCTGCTACGCAGCTATTCCTACACGCTCGTCCCTCTCGATATCGCGTTACACGGTTACGATCAAGCAGCCCGAGAACTACACATTTTCCACGCTGCACAAATAACACTTCTGCACAATGTGAAACAAGCAAGATTGCCGCTTCGAATAATTAGAGTTAGAGGATCCTTTGTTTCCACCATTCTATCATCTGCTCGGGCGGAACACGCTTTAATCGCCATTTACGTCCCTGCAGTGATGCGTGTCCAACAACACTCGCGGTGAATTTCATTGCGAATTTTATAGAAACGAATTTAGTTCGTTTCACGTTTAAATCATGGTGAAGATATAATCATGGGGAAATTTAAAATGAAGAGAGAAAAATATAAGTCTAAATAAATACATATCTATATATATATAATACTATATATAGAAAGTTCATTTGTTTGCCCGACCTTACACCATACGTCTTCGATACGATTACATGCACGATCCTAAGTTATCTTTTATGTCAGAAACGATAAACAGTTTGATTTCTTTCCCAGAAAGTTGTTAATGATCGATGGAACTTTGATCCAAGAATTTGACGTCACCTGTTCTAAAATACCAACCGTCGAGAACCTATGATCAGGTGTTAAGAATTTGTCAGTAAACGTCGGTAGTAAAGTTACCGACATTTTTAATAACAGCAATTTACCAACTGTGGCACAGTAGTTTACCTACTACGTCCAAACGAGAGCAGCCTACAACACTATTTACATGAACTAATTTCTTGGAACGAAAATTTTAATTCAATTACCGCGCAGCTCAAAAGTTGGACCACGGACAAGGAATGTGATTAGACCTACACGCAATACATTTTTTTATGCCAGACCTCGTCTGTGATGGTCGGAACCTTAGAGCCCATTATCATTCGTGTCGCAACCTGCCGTATCGATTTAGGCAGATTTTGTATCGCAGCGCGATTATTTATAGGAATTAAAATTAATTTAGTGAATTGAACATCATGACATTTCATCAATTGACTATTTTTAACAGACGACCAACGTCAATTTGATTTTTTATTATAATCTGTTATTGAATGTAAATCGCGAAGGGTTTAAAAGAAACTCCAATTTTTTTCTAAGATTGATATTTCAAAACACCAAGTGTCAAATGATATCGTGTCAATCTTATTTTTGATCAATGAAAAAAATATATGGTTCCATTTATATCAAATTATTTATATTAAAAATCATTTATCAGCTTCAGAATTTTAATATGCTAACAAATGCGGAAACTTTTCACGCATTCGCTGTTTGATCACTATTCGACCATTTTACTTGTAATTTTTCGATTCACCATTCTTTAAATAGAGTGCGCTAAAAACCAATGATTTTTTTCTATGTCGGTATTTCAGTACGTGACACGATATTGCTATTCAATCTCATCTGTGCAAATATTAATTTATGCACATGCACTAATATTAAATATTCGCAATCTTAATTAGGGAAATAGAGTACAACCGTAATGGAGATTACTGATAGTGTTTTTCATTAGATGGAAAATCTCAGACATAAAATTTTAATGATAATAATCAATTCAAAAACGTAAAGTTTAACCTTGTCAAATTTTTTATATAATATAAAGAATGAAATTAAATATACTATCAAATATAAAGTCACTTACATTCTTGGCCTGTGAAGCACCACTTGCTCCTTTTCAGAGAACGAGAAGATGTAGACATTATAAAGAACCTATAACAAAACATGTGAAATGTTAAATATTTTTATTTTAAAAATTAATAATATTTTAAGTAAAATACAAGAAATAAAATAAAAATTGATTATAGGATGTCACAGATAAAAAAATATCATATTAACAACATAAAATATGTAGTTAGTTGATGTATTAAAAAATTTCTATCTTTGAACGTTCGTTACTCAAGATTTGAATACGTTTCGTTTAACGGATTAAATATGGCGCCCTCTTTCGTCAGTTACGTATTCAAATCTATTCATACCGTAACGATTCTTTAAAACGAACCAGTAATTTATTTTAAGATAAATGTATAAAAGAAACAAATTAGATAAAATAATAATCAAAATCAAATATTGTTCTGAAAGCTTATGACACAAACTATAATATGTATTGCAATACAAACTACTACGTAAATGTGACAACCAGAAAGATGATCAAATAGAAACAGATAATTTACTGATACATTGAATATTTTATAACTTACTGAATAAGAACGTACGTTAATTAAACAAAGTTGATAGTGATGTGAGTACAAACACTAAAAAGCTAACAATAAACGTAATTAAACGCGCACGCTGATGATACATCTTTACGTCACGATTATCAACAATGAACTAAATTTTCCCCGCGCAAAAGGATAGGGGGAGAGGGGGGGGGCGGAACTACGAATGTGGACAAATAATTTTGCTGATTTCCTGTATAAATCAGAATGTTTCTAAAAACGAGTAAATCATATACTACATATATTTATTCGTTAATATTTATTCACACTTTCCCGTGATAATTTAATTTGTATGAAATTGATTAAATTAACAAGTGTAAAATACAATCAAATATAATACTTTTTTTTATAACATTTAATATAATATTTTTTAGTGAAAAAATTTTAATTATATATTATATCAATTTTACAAAACTTTCCATACTTTGTACGCAAGTGTTTGCTCATTATTTAGATACTTGATTGATATTAGACTGTTAGAACCTGAGAAATTTGATTTATTTGTGTGAGTAGATTAGCTTCATCATTTCGCCACAATGCGGCGCAAGTGTTTCAGTGTTTGTAAATCGATTAATTTTTCATTTGTGAAAAAAAACTAATTGAGAGAATTTTGTTTTAAATTTTTACAATTGTATCTCTAAAATTAAATTCTCAACTTTCTTTCTGCATTCCAAAAACAACACATGTAAGTCACGTTCTGATTGTTTTTCTTTGACCGTCACTTGTTTAATAGTCGTAATTGTAAACGGCCATATCATAAAAATTACTCAAAAATTTGAATATTTTATAGACATATAAAGACTTTGTTCAATTTTCCGTTTTATTGCTTTCCTTTTGTAAACTAAACTGTAAGCTTTCCTAACTTCGTATAAACCAAGTAACTTTTCGTACTTTCGTAAAACTTTTATATTGACCAATATGAAAGCTTAGTCCAAAACTCAGGGCAATATTTTTTATGTGGAGAAAAATGCACGAATCGTTTTTAAAAATACACTTTATGAATTTTTACACTTTTTATCAGATTTTTCAGTTTCGATGTTTATAACAGCATTCCAACATTTTATAATTTACTGAGTAATAAAACAATGGAAAGACTAACTTTCATATAAAAAAAAAGTTGCTCTTAGAATATGGACTTCTTGAATTATCTTTAAAATTGAAGAGAAAAAATAAAGAAATCAAAAGTTCTTTAGGTCATACCATTAAAACCATTGTTTCTTCACTGTTTCAATCTATCAGAGCTTGGTTATAATATAATTTGTTACACTTTATAAATAATACACACTTTTTTGTAGAAAATAAACATAATGTTGAATTATGTTATTAGGGTACCATCTTATTTATTTGCTGTACGCTTGGCATTAAACTTATTGCATATATTTAATAAAATGTACAACCCTTAAAAGGTAAATCTTAATAAAAATCATACACCTCGAGAACCATGTACACTAAGACTCGGATAAAATGTCCTCCAATGTTTTGTCATCGTGCAGTGGCGAATGTCCTAATGTAGGATCACTTTCTAGAAATTCTCTAAGTTCTGACTCTAAGTCTGGAACCGCAGACGTCTCTGATGTGCTCAATAAAGACGGAGGTGTCTGACTGTGCGTCATACCGATTTGTATTTGAATAGGCGGTTGATTCGTATTCACAATATTGATCGGTTGATTTTGTTGACTTGTTGGACTGAGCAAGTTAGTGTTTTGAATTGGTGACGGATCCGGCAACAGGTTCGACGAAACTTGATTGCTGTTAGTTTGCGACAAGAGATTATTTTCCGCGACAATGGTGGGATTATGCGTGATCGGTTCCACTTCCATAGGTTCTGGTCCACCAAGAGGTGCTATGCCCATAGCTCTTCGCAAACCATCAACAGGAGCGATAGCTGAAGGAGGAAGCTTCTTCGCTATCTCTGTTAAATTATCCGTAATTTTGTCGGCTATCACCACTTCTGCCTCCGATGGTTTAGGAACATTGGACAAGTGAGCAGGCGGTGGAGCCGAGAGCCGTTCATGCTGCACTTGCTTCAAACGGCCTAACATTTGCGACGTATCGTCCAATCGACTCTGTAAAGCTGCGCGTTCCTCGTTCAGCTTCAATTCCTCTTCTGGAAAAGAAAACAAGTAAAGTTAAGACTGCTATTACAAGTAGTTGTTACTACAGATACTAGAATTCTTTTGAATATAATTACCCATATTTTCCAAAAAATGAACATCAATTCCTAATTCTGATAGCGTTTTCAATTGATCGATGTCAACTTTTACTCCGTCCATAGCTGGAATATTGCGATTAACATCTTGCATAGGTTTCTCTAACAAATGCTTTATCTTCTCTTCTTCCTCTTTGAGTCTTCGTTTTTCTTCGAGGAACTTCTTAGTCTTTCTGTGATCTCCTCCTGTCAGAATATCCAACAGATCGTCGACCATAGTTAACGTATAATCACAGTCTTTAGCAAAGTCTAATATGGATTCTGCGTATTGTACAGCAGTTTCATCGCCGTATGTCTGATACACCAAGTCTGTTTCCTCCTTCGTGAGATTAGCGAATGTAGAATCGTAACTTGGGGCGTAAGAACCAAAGGCACCGTAATACAAAGGTTTTACTGGTTTCGACATGTTTCTCCTATCTTCTCGGAATCCTGCTAACGCTCCTGTACCGTGATTCAATTTACCTATAAGCTGCACCAACGAGACTGGTCTTTGATTAGTTCCAGGAATTACGCCGTCTCCCGGTACTATGATCTGCAAACTAGTAGTCCCATCTTTCTTTTGTCTAAGGAAACCCATTTTAGAATTCAACCTTTTCAACGTCAACTTATCCGATGCCGCTTTCGCGGCTCCTCGAGCTTGTTTTAAGATTTCCTCTGGCGTCATATCATCCGGAATGGCTTCAAATTTACCTAAATTTGCTAATCTCATTTTCCTCTGGTTCTCTTTTCTAAGTTCTTCTGCCTCTTCGTTACGTTCTTCCTGTTCCCGTTCCCGTTCGATTTGCTCCTCTGTTACTGGAACGTCTGGATTATTAAGATCTTCCGTACCTAATTCAAAACCAAGTTCTTCTTTCGATATGTCCTGCATATAAGTTAATACAGGTCTTAATTGGCGAAGCTTTTCTGGTGTAACCATTTTTAAGCCAACGGGCAACAATTTTTTTGCTGCCTTGTAATAAATAGTATCTGGATGATTGTATGTGGTAGCGTTATCACACATTAATTTGAAGTCTTCTACAAATTCATTTAAATTTTGATAGCTGTTATCGTCTATTTTCTGCTTTATGGTACTGAAATCCATAGGATTAGTAATGATCTGAGAGTATCCAGGTGCAATGCTATCTGTAACTGGCCAAGCAAAGAATTGTTGTGGATCACGTTTCTCCATTGATCTAAGAAGATGTTCCAATAATCGTTGAAGAGGTGTACGCTCGGCAATTTTCCTAAGCACGCAAGTTCTAGGTTCCCGATGTGGCGAAAGAGAACTAATATTATGGCTAGTGACACCGACTCTGTGTTCTCCAGTAGACGGTGGTCTCGGTGGTAATAACTGATGATTAGGAATCTTTTTAGGGATTTCGGTCAAACTTTCATCAGCATCTCCAACCGATTCCTGACTGGATTCCTCTCTTCTCCTCTTTTTATCCTTATGATGATGTTTATGTCTCTTATCCTTCTTTTTCTTCTTCTTTTTAAGTTTCTTGTGTCCCACATATCTGTCGTATTCAGATTCCTGCGTCACAGAACAATTGAGACCCAACTGTTGTTGGTAGACACCCAAATGTTGGGACAGCATTGCTGCCTGACTTGGGGATTCGTATTCAGGTGTCCCACTACTACCCCCAACCTTTAAAATTAATTTCAAGGTAGGGGGTTTATCCGTGGTTGTATAGTAGCCTTCTGTTAAAGAAAAAAAAAGAATATTATTTATAACAAATTAAATATAATCTTACGTATAATATGCATGTTAAATATATATGAAGACATGAGAGCATAAAGCTGTAAATAACAACTAGTGCATGCAACAAAAATGTCTTGCAGAAAATTATACAAGGGTGCAGAATAAGAGCATACATAATAGCGTTGTAACAATAAATAAGTAAATATGGTGGCAAATATTACATTGCATAACCTTGCAAAATTATAAAGAAGTGTAATTCTGAATTAATAAAAATCTACAGGGTATTAACAGAAAGGTAGAAAGAAATGTTGATAATGATAATGATGATGATGATGATGGTGATGATGATAATGATGATGATGATGATGATAATGATGATGATGATTATAATTATGTTATGATTATGACGATGATGATGATGATAATATTTATAATAATAACAATAACAATAAAGATGATTTTATAACAAGACAATGACCTTGTTTTCACATTCAACAAACTGGAAGCGAGATGGAAGTAGCTTGACTTAAATTAAATAAACCTTGATAGAAGTATGCAATAAAATAATTACTATTGTATGAATCAGTTGAATCTGCAGGAATAATCAAGGTAGGAACAACTTTTGAAATTGAAAATACCTCGTAAAGCAAAAGCATATGGCCTTTCTGATGCCATAATACATAACAGCCAGGGTACTAAGTGATTGAAGTGCAACAATTTAACAGTATCTGAGGAAAATACCCACGAGCTTTTATAGTAAAGGCAATAAAAAATTTGTCTCGTGAAAGTTCTTGTTGCACTTCAACTGATTTTAATAGACAAAAAAAAACTAAAAGGGTTTGGGATATCCGAATAATTTTGGAAGCACAGCTAGTTTCGTGCAACCAGTCCATGTCCGTTGTTACACGTCACTTACTTCCACGTTGCACCTGTTGCTGTGGAACCTTCGTTTATACTTTTGAATCCACCTCACTTCTACTCCAACCTCACTCTCAGTTTGTCCGTGGTGAAAACGTAGTCAAAATTCCTGTGCATTATTAAACTATGAGTACAAAAAGGATTCCAATGAAAATGTTCAAGAACTTCAAGCAAATAAGATCCTTGTACTCTTTCAAGCTCTATATGTCGACTACTACATTTTTATTTGTAGATAATCTTTTCATTTGAATCCTCGTGTGATTGATACAAATGTCGACACCATGGTATTACATTCAGCGAGATATTCCAATAATGTGAAAATTGAGCAGTAATAACGAATGGAGAAACATTAAATCAAATAAAACGATGTGAAAACGTAACATTTGAGAAAGCAGACACCCGGATTGCTGCTGAGAGCTGAGAAAAGAAGTTTCAAAATACCAAACGTAATGAAAACATCTGATAACGTAGCGACGAGCTGTCAACGCGAGCATGATTCGATTCACCGAGATAAAAACAAATACATATTGCGTTGGTGCGATAGTCGGAATGATTGGACGCGCATTGAGTATTTTGTTGCAAACACAGTGTGCAGCATGATGATACTATCGAAAACGCGGGACACAACGCGGCGGCCTGCGATGCCAAGATGATATTAAGGGACAATTAAAAAGTAACCAGGAATAACGATAAGATGATCGAGATAAACCAGATTCAGCCCCGGTTCTCACCTTCGTGCCTTTCGCGCTTGTGCTTTTTATGCTTCTTCGAGCCCATGGTTTGCACGTCGGCCCACAGCCTGATAGAATATTCTAACGATAAATACAGTAAACACTACGTTGTAAACCAGCACGGAACGCGGTTTGCGAGAGTACCGCGCTCCGTTACGTACGTAGACAATACGACGGCAGCCATTGAAGACGTCACACAACTCCAAGCCGTTATGGTGGATACAGGTCTTTCGTTTTCCCCAACCCACCGTTTCGTTTACTTGCCAGCTGCACTGTCATGGCGGCGCGTCGTTCGAGGAAGCGCGCGTTACAAATCCGGTCGAATATCAATTCATCACACACTTTCTACTCGCAGTGAAAGATTGAAAAGTTGATTTCAACACTTCCCAACATACTCTACTTGTAATATCCAACAGGTATCAAATCTTTCTTCCATATCGACAAATTAATTACAAAAACTCTGACTACCTACTTGAACATCGTACCTGACACGTTTCGAGATGTGAAATACGTTCGAAATCACACGGTTTAAATTTTAACCATTTGTTTACGCCTGTCTCTAATTTTTATCCTATTTATAATTCAAATTTAAAACGTACTATACCGTTTTGAACAGACACACGCGTGCGCAGGCACGCACACACATGCCGCATCAAAACTAAACTGATTAAAAAGAAAAAGCATTCGATGTCGAATCTACTTGATTGATTTCCTGCAACTAATGGCAAGAGAACAATGGAAATTGATGCAACGAGAAAACTCAGTCATTTTATAGTAAATCGGATTTCACGGTCTGTACGATGACACTGAATACAGTATAATTACACTGAAAAAGTCGTCCGTTTCAAGGATTAGAAATTACGTTTGTTAAAACAAAATCTTACGCTTTGTCTATACCTGCGCAACGAGGCATTGTGTATGGAGCTTTATAGGCGAAAGGCGCTTCCTAACCTACAAAAGACGCTTGAAGTATGCAGTAGCACTTACCGTACACGGAGAAACAAAACACTCGACCGTATTCACAGGCACGCTTTGCTGTACAAGATTCCGTCTTACTAAACGAGCGTACACTACGCTGAATTTTTATTGAAATATCCAACAACTTACCGCGGCGTCGACGAACCCAGTCGCGATGCGATTAAAGGGGCAAACGATCAGCTGTTTCGGCAAAACCACGAACGGAACAGAGAGAGAAAAAAAAGAGAAGCTTGTTTTCTTGGTGGCTTTTAGAAGGAAATTCACACACAACGCAGATGTGTCGTCCTCCCTGCGTTCTACCGTGCCTTGAACACTAAGATACATTGACCAGTCAATTCCTGTTTGTGCCTCCCTTCGAATCTCTCATACTCGATCGGAATACACCGAACGTGGGCTTGTCGACTTTAAAAAAACAAGGACCGGAAAATTGCGACGGTCCTTATCGATTTTTGGTTACTTTTACTATTTTTACGTTTTTTAACTTTACTTCATATTTTTATTTGTCATAAAACGTCTACGTTGTTTGACTTTAACACTTTTCAGTATTTGTCGAGTTAAGGGTGCGACTGGACGTTCCAATGAACAGTTAAGACACTTGAATTTGCTGCATGTTTGAAAACACATATGTCGACAACGAAATGCATATATATATATATATATATATATATATACATACACATATGTATATGCACACACATACATATATATATGTATGTGTAAATTGTCAAGCTGAACAAAAGCAACGATCGTGACAATGGATTTACATTACCAATGGAACACGAAAATACGCGAAAGCCAAGGACTTGACAGGTTCTGGCTTTAGCTTTAGCTTTTGCATTAAAGTGGCGTACTCCGCCAACGAGATCTTCATGCATTTGAAATGCTAATGCGATTTTTCTTCCAACTAAAACGCTTTATGAACTATATCGGTACGATGCTGAATTCAAAGTTGTTAATATCCAAGTACTTGTTACGAGCTGCCTACATTTTACAGCTTTAAATTTAAAGTCATAAGTCGCGTGCTAATTACAGAGGAAAAGATTTGTAATTGCAGAAAAGAAGATGTACGTATGTAAAGCACATCTTTAACTACACTTGTACTTATTCGTACTGACCGTTATGAAGAAACGAGCTTTGGTAGCTTAGCCAAAAAAGCAGAACGTTTGTTACACATCGACTATTGTATAATCTCAAAAGAGTTTCTTCCTATTGTCGATAGTGAAATGAATTTCCGAGACTTTGGATCGAATTCTCGCGATATGCAAAACTTTTAAAACCTACATGGCTCTTCAACGTCATTTTTACTGTTTCAAAGAACTTTTATAATTGTTGAATTATCGCTAAATTGAGATAATATTTCAATGGGTAATTAAATCGTACGACAGGAAAGAAGGCCAAATTACGTTCGATGAAAACTCAGCAATTTAAAATAAATAGATGCTTACATTTTCGTAATTTGCCTTTGTTCGACAAGTGACGATTGTCTGTATATTGTCCAACCCTTTGGCAAGGACTCGAGATGAAATGCAATATACACGAAGTGGAATTTTCTCGAAGGAAAGTTTTCTGTTTCCTGCTGCCACCTAGAACAGGATACAGGCAACCGATGAAGCTGTGCGATTATACACCACTCGTGGACGAAAATATAGCAATTCGCAGGTACACTGCGTTGCAACTGTGTTATCACCGTGGCACAGCAGCGTAACCCTGAAATACGAGACACACATGCGTGTAATATTTTACATACATGGTATAACGCATTCACACGACTCGTAGAATCATACATGTATACGCACATGCACATGTACCTCTGAATAATCAGATTTTTGGCAAAATTGATACATCATGATTGCTTCTTTGACTATCGATCAGATAAAGAGAAATAATTGAAAATCACGCATTTAAGTATTCCGAGACGCACTTAAAGAGATTCTACGATAATCAATACTTTGGCGTCAACGTCCCTTTCAGTTTTCCTGCTGTGAAACCATGGCTGCGTATTCATTTTACATTGTAAATATGCATGTAAAGAGCACACGAAGCTGGCTCGTTTTCATCAAAGATACTGATACAAGTTACGAAGGGGTACAAGATACTGGGGATTTTGACGAAGCGCGAAATTGGCGAGGGAGGATGGTAGTAGCACATCATAGTACAGTATATAGTTACGGTCCTGGAGAAAGTCGGTATGGAGGGAGTGTGGATGCATGCATACGCGTGTTCACGTATCGTCCACGACAATAATTCCATGATTCATTGCGCACATTTTGTTAAAAGTTTCGAGTATATCGCAATTAGTAGAACAAACTGTTTTCACAGTTGTACGTTGCAGATTAATAATTTTGTTTGAAATTAGTTATGTTTCAATTAATTTAATTCCGGCAGTTCACCGAGGAAATGTAATTCAGGGAAAGACAATTTTGGAGCACAGCCAAAAAACGGGATTCCATTTTTATCACGTTTAAATGTTCTGAAAATACTTGGAAGACACCCAGCAGTTTTTTAAACATTTGTTAAGCTTATAGTAACTCAGATCATACATACTCTTATTTTTACTATTTTTGCTTTTTATTTACTCTTAATCTGATCCGGATGGGTCTTTAGCGACATATTGTTACTTACCGCTCTGGATATTGATTCAGACTACGTAATTATAGAACCAGTTGTGCTTCAAACTGTACATATGTATGTAAATTGATCGAAACAAACCTTTGTTTCCAAATTTTGCTCATGTACGTGCAATTTCATTTAGAAATTTCGACAGGTCGATTTGATATTTGATAATTTGTAATTAAAATATGTATATATGAGCTTTTTGACATAAAAAGGGATAAATGTTAAAGACTAAAGATCACATTGAAGACCAATTAACAGAAATTTCAGCAACAATCCATCTAGTTTGCCAGTGAAAAGAAGAAATTAACGTGTCAATATCTTTCAGGCTTTCAGTATCGTGGCAACGTGACCGTTCCTCCTACCAATCGTTCGATAACAGCCAATGGCGGATCACAGCGGGTAGTTTGACGATTGGTACAGCCCTGGTGAAATGCACGTACACGTGGGTGCCTTGGTCGTGGTCGTGGCGCCCATGCTCAACAGCCGTAGCCGGCAGAAGCGTGTATCGAAGGGTTCCATGATTCTCTGCATACACGCGTGTATCTACATACGTGTGAATACCGTGCACACACATCTATAAAACGTAGTCGATCAGACTAGAGTTGACGAGTAGTATCAGTATCAGTATCCTAAACGCAGCAGGGTGGTCATTGCTCATGCGGAACTGGCAAAAGGACAACGACAAAAATACACGTAGAGAGAAAGAGAGAAAGAGATACACGTGGGCTTGTTGCAGCAATTGAGAGTTAGTAGCGTGGAGAAGAGGTTGGCGATCTGTGTTATCACTTTATCGCATGGAACACGCGTCGCACGCTTGTCTGGATTTCGGCAACAAGCGAGCGAACGAAACGTGAGAGGCACGAGACGGGAGGCACGACTCCAGAGCGTGCACACATGTACATACATAACATACGTGCCTAGAGGTGGGCGCGATAAAGACATTCGATAAAGAACACACGACACCACGCTTCGGTGTTGTGTAGTTTCCGTTTCTTTCCCGCTTACGATCATTCGTAGTTGCTACGTTCTCCCTTCCCTTCGTTCACGCTCTTTCATTGTCCCTCTTGCATGCTCTCTGTCTGACCGTCTGTTTGTGCCTCGTGGTGTGTTGCCGATGGTACACAGTCACAGTACGGCCAGCAGAAGCCTGTAACATAGCACCGGCGAATGGAGAACGCGTTCGCCAATCGTTGTAAACGAAAGTGCGGGTGTTTCGTCGTTAAGCAGCATCCCCGCAGTTAACTTATCGGCGCGGTTCGCGTTAATCGAGAACAAACGGTGTGCGCGTCGAGCAACCGAAGCTCGAGCAAAGTGTTGTGTCTGGTGGTGGTTGCGTTGATAGCAAAGATCGAGGATAGCAAAGAATGGAGCGGTTTCGAGTCACACCGGCCAATAATACGTCGCAGTATGCGCCACAGCAGCAGCAACCATCGCTCGACTATGGTAAGTGGTTGTTTATTTATTTTTTTTTTTTTTTATATATACACGTGGATCAAGAGGTTAAACGTACGTACAAACGAGCGCAAGAGTGCAGCCTTATTTACGATCACGCTGACGCACACGCGTCGCGTTATTCAACAGAAATTTTTGCAGACCTGTACACGCGTAAATGTAAATCGGCTATCTGCTTGAGACGTATAATTTACACTCTCTTCTCTCTCCTCCAGCAGATTCTGTGTAGATCTTACAAGATCACGTTAAGTAACTACAAGCTTGCACGAAAGAGCGAACGTTTTCTATTTTAACGGGATTAGAAATATATCTGTTAAAACGTTGAGCAGAGCTCCACTCTATTAAAGGTTTACGCCTCAAGGTCGATCGATCTTCACGGACGGTCACCGCCAGAAATTTCCGAGTAAAACGATTATTTAACGAGAACAGTCTTCCTTTCCCTTTATTTTTCATCGAAGCCTCCATCGAGAGGAAAAAAGTCCGAGAGATCACACCTACCTACACATTACTTTTGATCAAAATTATACCTCGTAGATTACGTGGAATTATACTCCAGTTTGAAAGAAACATTGGCTCCAAAAAAAAAAGAAGAAAAAAAGAAAAAAAAAAAAACAGTCAGGATGTATACGTACGTACTTTGTTATCACTCGCGTTGATCTAGAGAATAGTCGAGCAAATATGAAGTAACTCGATTATCGACCGTAACAACAAGTTACGCATTCACGCAACGCAGCACCGATACCGATATCGGTTTGGAGTGAAGCGAGTCTGTTCAACGTCGGGTATCGGTCGTGGTAGGCGTGAGCGCGTTACACCGGCTGGGACAATGGACAAGGCTAAGTTTAAATTCTAAATGCATATGTGCATAGTAGCACGGCGTGGCGTAACGTTACCGATTTCCAGACGTGTTTTCACGCTAACTGGGCTTACCTTTGCGGCTTCGTTCCGTTTACTTCGGTCAGACGGTCTACCTAGTCGTCCAGCGTTGTTCAGCTTTCGCGGCGGAATCGTGATTCGGCCGCGTGTCATCCAGCTATCGATCGATCAGCCGCTTAATAACTCTGCGCGTCCACTCAGTTTCGTGAGTCAGCGCGCTTCACTCGAGACCGATCGTCTCGTTGCAACCAGCAACAAGAAAAAGATCCAAGCAGCGCTGGACCTTGGCGTTTTAGGTACACACGCGCCTCGTCTATTTTCGTTTCGGACGTTTCCCAGAGGCGTGGTCGTCTCGAATAGTCGATATCCAGGATCGCGGTGGATTTGCATAAGAAATTGGACGTTTGGCCGAGTCGGCGAGCTCTATTACGTATCGCCGAGCTAAAAAGGGGATGGTTTTTCGTGACTCGTTTATCCTTGATTCGAGACGGCCACGCGCTCGTTCCCTCTACAGAGATCAACCATACTATGCATGTACACACATGTGTCCGTAGATCGAGTTCTCTCGCACGCGTTTCTTTCGCGAGAATGTTTCTTTTTTTTTTTTTTTTTCTTCTTCCGTTGTCGAGAAGACTGGCGTCGCGTCGCGTCGCGTCGCGTCGCGTCGATGAACTGCGGAAGAACGACGGAAATACATGTAGCTGGCTATTGTCGAGCGATATCCAGAGCGGCGGCTCCGAAAATAAAATATCGAACGTAACGCCGCAATTGTCAAGGTTGGCCACCTTGGTTTTTTACCCGAGTAAAAGACCAGTAAAAGAGGCGAGATTTGCTTATCGAGTGTGTGTTTCTCAGTGTCTCTCAGCACCGTTAGACCCGGTAGAGAAAGAAGAGAAAGAAGAAACCCTAACGAGGAGCGTTACATAAACGTGATCGCTCCGATTCGATTTCGAATCGCCGCGCTGCACGGCGTAACCTGTTTAATAGCTCGCCTCGTGTCTCCAGACAAATTACCGTTGCGTAATCCCCGTAAACTGTACCGTGATAACGAGAGCAGTTGTGTAATTGTTAATCTCGTTCCTTTAACACAACGTACCTCCGGATCCTCGAGGTAATTAAACGGTATCGCGCTTAATAAATCACGCTCAACAGCTTGCCAGTCGGAGTCTCGTCAGTTGGATATGCCGTAACTACCGTTGTTCGATATCTACTCTGTGTGTCGAGTCTGTTAAAACATTATTAGTATGTCACTATCAGTACCGCCGGTACGCCACCATCTTCTTCTTTCGTCCGAGAGAAGGTTTCCTCCATCGACGACACACGATCGAGGCAGAGATAATTCTTTCTCCTTGGACGATCGTCGCATGAGAACCACTCGTAGTCCTTCTCGCCAGTCGAAGGTTCAAGTTGGTCGGACGAGAAACCCAACGGTTTGTGGCGGGGTAAAAGGGGCAGCTGCATCCCTGCTACAAAAGCCGAGGCAGCAAGGGGTCGATAATCATGCAACTCCACTCTACACGTTGTATTTCGCCGCACACAGTCGTTCGCGACCCGTGCACGTGGTCGATTTGCGCACCTATCTCTCTCTCCTCCCTCGATCAACCGACTTCCCCTTCCTTTTCCTTCTTTCTCTTTCTTTTCCTTCCGTGAGGCACATTGTCGATCAATCTCATGGTGTGAGAGAACCACGTATGACCACCTAACGCGCGACATAGTTCCCGCCCGCGGCGTCTAACAAATGCGTTCGCATTTGTCCAAATTATCGTACGTATTTCATCGTATCGACAGAGCGAACTCGTTCTCGAAGAGAAACGACGAATAGAGCGGTAGAGTATACAGCGATGCGCTACATCCTTTTTCCCCCCTCTGCTCGTAGATTTACCAAGTAGAGACGTTGGCGTCTTTTTCTCCAAGTAGACGCGAACGTGTCTACCCCTTTTTTTTTTTTGGAACCGAGTCGCGCAGTTAATTTCAAGGCGGGCTACTTGGCACGAGATCGAGCACAAATCGCAGTTTGCTACCTTTCAAACTTGCAGTTGCAAGAATCTCCAATCGAATTAAATCGAATCGAGGGAGAAACGTGTATCTGTATCGTGCATCTGTACGATGTACGTGCAAACTGTAGATTACTGTAAAATACCAGGATATTCATCATCATCATTTTTCTGCGTTTTGTTCTCTTCGTAGCTATGTATCTGTACGTCGCGTCGTGTTTTAGGCAAATAGAAACAGTTTCGTGCGATATATCGCGTCTCTCGTCGAGGTGTCGTCGCGCGATGAAACGTGGCGCCCTCGGCCACAAAAGAAACTAGAGCGCGTGCCTTTATGAGCCACCAGGGGTAGAACCCCTTTTTCTAGCTCTGCTTCTTTACCGGTCTACCTAATCTAGAGGACACTCTTGTCCGAATCCCTATTCGAAAACGATTCTCTTCTACTGTTAAAAACTCCTACTGTTGCAAGGGGGTTGCTTGCATCGATCGTGTTCAAACTCTTTCATTCGTAATGAACAGGAATGTTTAGTTGAACCAATTGCACTTTCTTTTCGGGCAAATCAATCAATCGTCGCGTTGACGGTGAGGTTGACTCAACGCTCTCAAAGTTCATTAACCTCGTCTCCTTAACCTCCGGACACACGTTCAATCACGCGTGTAATTGCGAATCGAAAGCCCAACATCGATGCCCCAAAGGACAAACGGCTTTTCAGCCGCGTGTTTCACAATAATCGATTAATTGCAAGTTTGCTCGTGAATCGAGTCGAGTCGATGCGGTTCGATTAGAACGCGACGCCGTCTATTTGCCGCAGTCCTCTAACCTCTGGAATTTACCGCTTAATAATTAAGCCTTCGTTCAACTTTACGTTGGCCAAATTTCGTTGCACTAAATTTGCATGTTTCTCTGCTGTATATATCCCGCTACGTGTAACGTTTTCATCTCCAGTTTACACCAACGTTGGATTACACTTTATCGTAACGAGCTTAAAGCAGAAATACCCCTGTTACGAAGCACCAGCGAAATAGATATCTTTTGGATGAAGAGCTTTAATCCCTTTGCGCTCGACTGTCCCCCGCAATGGGACATTCACACTTAAATTTAGCTAAAATTGTAAAATTTTTTTTGTACATTATAAAATCGATATGATATAACGACGTAAGAATAAGAATAATAAAGAGTAACATCTTACTGACCCTTACGAAAGTTTATAAAATGGCGAAGAGAATTTTTCAAGAGATTGAAAATTATGACAAGGCTTTAAACAAGGTCCTATATCAAAGAGACACAGTCAACAAAATTTCGTGCTGAAATTTACAATAGGATGATCATTTCCAACGCCGTATCATTTTACTTGAAGTGATACTTCACTCACGTATTTCGTAAATAAATTGCAAGAAATATTTTGCGAGGGCAAAGAGTTAATTCAACATGCGTTGGCATTTCGTTGCATCAAACTTGCATATTTTTCTGCCACATCCCTCTACGTGTAACATTGTTTCTCATCTCCATTTTATATCAAGGTTGGATTACCCTTTATCGTACAAGACGAGCTTAGAGCAGAAATATACTCCTGTCGCGAAGCACCAATGAAATAGATGTCGTTTCGCAAGAGAGAAAAGTAACGCGACGGATATAGCTGGACAGGTGGATGGAAATAGAAATATTTAGGGATATTCTCGTCGGCTCGCGTCGTTAGATTCCAGCCGATCGCGACACATTTTGCTCTTGATCGTCTCATCGACCATCGACCGTCGAGGTACGTTTTTACGACTTTCTTCTTCGAGTAGATGGAGCAGAGAACGGTGCCTCGAGGCATTGCGCCGGTCTCGCACGCGATTAACAGCCGCTCCTCGGGAAGAAAGAACGGCGAGAAGAAGAGACGTCGCGTCGCGGCGGTGAAAGAAGAAGAAGAAGAAGAAGAAGAAGAAGAAGAAGAAGAAGAAGAAGAAGGGGAGGAAAGGAAGTGAACTAGCAACTAGAAGAAAACCCTCCGCTACGTCTGCACAAATGAGGCACGTTTTAACAGACCTTTCTCTTTCAGATCGCAGGTGGCATTGTGCATCCACGTGCGTTCGCGCTTGTCCGCGATGTATTATTCACAGAGCGCTGTACACAGGTTTTTGCAACTACGTGTACGACTAATACGGAGCGACGCGCCGTATTATGGAGACGTTCAGACATTTCGCCAGCCGTGGCAGCGTGCCAGAGGCCAGAGCTCACAGAGAATTCGGACCATCGTCCAGTCCACCGTCCATGTGTTTATCAACAGTGAATTATGTCAACGTGGAGCGGCCGAGCATCCGCTAACGTCGAGGCGAACTCGTGATCTCGCCTTTCCAGCGTACCTCCTAACCGAACCAACCTTTATCCAGTCGTGGAAACGCTGTTTTCAGACTATTTTCAGCCTCTCTTCCGAATCGAGTTCTCCCTTTCGTCGTCGTTCGTCTCTCTTTCCGCAGTCTCTCCGGAATACTTGGGGAAACTGTGCAACGCCATTGTCAGCTTGCAAATTCCACGGAGGATTCTCTTGGGTTTTAATTCATCGCTGGTCCCTTGCCAGCCCACTCCCCGGTTAACCAGACCGGCAGGGGAAAGCCAAAGTTTTCTACGCGATCGTACCTATTAGCAAATTCGAGGACAAAGGCGAAACAATTGAAAATTAGTATAGTTGGATCACGATTCGCTCCGATCGAAATCTACTTGAGATCAGCGTTTAGCGAAGCTAGCGAGTGATATCTTCGAAACGAAGGAGAAAAAGATATTAGGCGTACCCATTTTGTTAAGTCATCGATTTTGACTTTTCACTTTGGTCATTCAGTTCTGCATTGAGAGAACGTTTACACACGAGAGAACGTTTTTCTTTATATTCTCCACGGAGGCATCCTATTAGCTAATTATCGCAAAGAGTTTAACATTGTCTCACTACCCTACTCGTAATTGCTTTTCATTTCTTTCACGCGGAATTTAGCGCAACAGAAACAATGGAAGAGGAAAATTTGCGATACCTATGGAAATAAGTGTTGAAGGTCAACAAATGTCGGCTAATGATTATGACCTGCCTGACTGACCGCGAACTGAACGACCAGTTAAATTTGACGATGACGCCTTCAAATCTCTAGTGGAATCTAAAGTACACAAGGTTAAATATACAGAAACTGCGCAAAGGCACCCTACGTGAAATCGGCAGGATACATAGACCCAAGGAATATGGGTTTAAACCAACTATCCAAGACCAACAAAGATGTTCGACGAACAGTTGGCAGTTCATTGTTCATCAGATTGCGTACAGATCCATTTC